TTCAAAGAAAAACGTGAGGCTTATATAAGCCTTTACACAAAAACTAAACTACTACATAATGCATGACAGTTACAAATATACAATGAAAAATGGTACCAATATAGGAAAAAATCCCGCAAGTGAATAAAGACTCCCTATAAAATAGGAGATTTATTTAAAACATTAAAAATCTTAAAAACTAACTAACTAACATTTCCTCCCTTAAGCTATATGTAGTGCTTCATTTTAGCTTACTTCATTGATTTCCACAACTCCAAGCATGCGGCGAAATCTTTCAAATTGCTCAAGCTTTAATGCTTTGGTCATTATGTCAGCTAATTGTTCTTCAGAGCCACAATAAATAAGATAAACTAACTTGATCTTTTACTAAATCTCTAAGAAAATGAAATCTCACTACAATATGTTTACTCCTCCCATGGAAGACAGGATTCTTGGACAATTGAATAGTAGAATTGTTGTCACATATTCTGTTGCATCTTTTTCTTCTGATACGAGGTGTTCCAAAATTCTGCGAAGCCAAATGCACTGACATCCATAAAATTCTGTAGCAATGTACTCTGCCTCAGTTGTAGATAAGCTCACCACTGGTTTTTTTTTTTTTAGATCCATGAGACAACTCCAGTGCCTATTAAGAAAACTGAACCAGAAGTGCTTTTTCTATCATTTAAGTCTCCTGCATAATTATTGTCATTGTAGGCTGTAAGATCGACCTTTCTTCCCTATTGGTAGAAGATACCATACTCAATAGTGCCTTTGAGATATCTGAAGATTCTTTTTGCTGCAGCCCAATGTGATTCCTTTGGATTTGCCATGTATCTACTGATTAGGCTTACCCATACATTAAATATGGCCTAGTAACTGTGAGATACACGAGACTACCAATTGCCTGTTTAAACTTTGTAGCATCTATTGAAGCCCCTTCCTCATCTCTAGATAGTGTTGTTCCTAGTACAATAGGATTCAGCACTGAATTACTTTCTGTCATATTGAACCGAGCCAATATCTCGCGAGCATATCGTCTTTGACAGATAAAAATCCCTGCATTGCTTTGTACAACTTCTACTCCAAGAAAATATCTCATTTTGCCAAGATCAGTCATATCAAATTCCAGCTTCATTCAGCTTTTAAATTCTTCATACACGTGTTTACTATTTCCAGTGCAAATCATCAACATAAAGACTGACTCTTAAAATATTACCTATAATTTTTTTGGTGAACAAGGTGTGTTCACTAGAACATCGGTTAAACCGTTCTTTGGCAAAATAAGCTTCAATTTTGCTGTACCAAGCATGTGGGGCCTGCTTGAGTCCATATAGAGCTTTTTAAAGTCGGTAAACTTGAGTCTCTCTGCCTTTCTAGATGAAACCTGCCGGCTATTGAACATATACCTCTTCTTGAAGATCACCATGCAAGAAGGCACTCTTTACATCAAGCTGAAATACATCCCATGCACTCTGAGCAGCTAACGCTAACAACAATCTCACTGTATCAAGTCTAGCAACTGGTGCAAACACCTTGGTATAGTCTATTCCATACCTTTGAGCATAACCTTTGGCCACCAATCTGGCTTTGTACTTCTCTACATGACCATTCTCATTGAATTTGGTCTTGAAAACTCATTTAATGCCAATGGGCGTGACTCCTGCTGGTGGATCTACAAGCTGCCATGTATTATTTTTCTCAATGGCCTCCATTTCAGCCTTCATTGCTTCTCTCCACTATTGACTTGTCCATGCCTCTTCAAAAGAGTGGGGATTTGCATATTCGGTCAACATCATTGCTAGCAATCCATCATCCTCTTCCATTAACATATTAGTCTCATAATCGGCCATCCATGTAGGTGGTCTTCGGATCCTGGTTGACCTCCCTGCATATGGAGATTCAATGTGCTAGGAGATTGATTTTGATGTGCTTTGATCTGCATCATTGCTGATTACTACTCCTTGTGATGCACGCTCACGTTTAGAATTTTCATCTTCTCCAATGGCTTTGTCTTCCCAATCAAGAGCATCAGTCTTATTTTTCTCAGAGTCATCTTGCCAATTCCAGCTTTTCTCTTCTTCAAATACAACATCCCTGCTTACTATAACCTTTTTTGGTAACAGGATTAAACAATTTATAGGCTTTAGATTCATCACTTACCCCCAAGAAAACACACTTCTGACTTTTATCATCCAATTTTCTTCTATTCTAATTTGGAATGTGAGCATGTGCAATACATCCAAATATTCGAAAATATTCAACGCATGGTTTTGATCCACTCCATATCTCTTCTAGTGTTGATGATCTATAGTAGATGTAGGGCTTCTGTTTTGAACATGCACACACCACCGTACTACCTCAGGCCAAAAAGGTTTGGGAACTTGTTTTTCATGTAAAACAGGACGCACCACATTCATAATGGTGCGATTTTTTCGTTCAGCCACTCCATTCTACTGTGGGGTGTAGGCAGCTGTAAATTGCCTGGATATACCTTGTTGAGTGCAGAAGTCAGCAAATTCCTTAGAGGTGAACTCTCCACCTCTATCATTTCTAAGGCATGTGATGAAGGCTCCAGATTCCTTTTCAATGCAGACTTTGAAGCTTTTGAAAACAGTAAATGCTTCAGATTTCTCATGTAAGAAATAAACCCAAGCTTTATGTGAATAATCATCAATAAATCTTAGAATGTACCTTTTGTTACTATGAGAGGACGGGGAGATGGGACTGCAAATATCAGCATGAATCAGCTGGAGTTTTGTGTAGGCTCGCCACGTGTTATGCTTTGGTAAAGCATCTCTGTGCTGTTTACCTACCAGGCAGGTAGTGCATATTTCTTTGGGTGGTTTCAAATGTGGTAATCCAACCACCATCTGTTTACTTGCAAGTGTACCAATACCCTTGAAATTAAGATGTTCAAATCGTCGATGCCATAAGTGCGTTTCTATTTCTAAAATTTCTTTAGTTTAAAGGCAGCGGGAGTGTAGTGAAGCCGATAGATAGAACATTCGATTTCCCTTCATATTGGTCTGCATAATGAGGCCTCGCTTTGGATGAAAAACTTTGCACAAGCCGTTTTGAATTAGGATAGACAAACCCTTCTCTTGTAGTTGTCCTAAGCTCAAGAGATTAGTCTTAAGTTCAGGCACATAATAGACATTTGATATAACAAGAGGGGTGCCATTAATTTCAACTCGAACGCTCCTTTTTGCAGTGATAGCCAAAGTTGAATCATTGCCAAGTTTGATTGTTCTGTTAATTCCTTCTTCTTGTACTTTTGTGAACCACAACTTATTTCCGGTCATATGATTACTACAACTGGAGTCTAGGAACCAATCCTTCTTCTGTACAGTTTGTGTTTCCTCATATGCAACCAACAAAAATTCTACCTCTGTCTCTGCTACTTCTTCAAATGATGCACAATGAGCCTTTTTCTCCAACTCAAGACACTCATATTGATAGTGACCTAACTTGTGACAGTGAAATCACTCAATGAGTGCTTTATTCAGCGTGTATCTTTCGCGTCCTCTTCCACGTCCATGACCACTTCTGCTACAACCTCGACCAACTACTAATTTATCATCCTAAACGACTTTCAACACCTGCTCACCAGGTTGACAATTTTGCATCCTTTGCTCATGAACAAGTAGGCTGCCATGAAGTTCATCAAGGCTGAGGATACTCAGATCATTGGACTCCTCAATTGAACACATTACGTAATTAAACTTTGGAGTTAATGATTTGAAAATTTTGCTAACCACCATGCTTGTGTTTATCACTTCACCATTAGATTTCATCTTATTAACAATAATGAGCGTACGTCCCAGATAGTTGTCCACTGTTTCACCCTCTTTCATTCCCAGCAACTCAAATTCACGACATAATGCTTGAAGCTAAGCGCGCTTGACTCTTGTGGATCCCTGATATTTTTGTTGCATTGACTGCCATATGGCCTGTGACGTGCTCTTGTCCAATATAGTTTCAAGAATTTCCCTATCAATAGCTTGAAACAAGTAGTTCTTCACCTTCAAATCTTTAAGGTTGGCCTCAGCCACACTCTTTCGCTGTGTTTTTTGATTCCAAACTTTGGAATACCCTCCTCTACGAGCTGCCATAATTCTTTGCTTCGAAAAAATTTTTCCATCGTCATGGTCAAGAAATCATCGTGGCCATCAAACCTTGGAATGGTTGGTTACACAAACTTTTCAAACATTCTCTGTAATCACTCTTCTTTGTACTCACTTTGAATTTGCACACTCTGTATCAAACCCCTTACAGAGCTCTAATACCAATTATTGAGATCAAGATATGTTCGTACAAATATATGTTCGTACAAATAATTAATCTGAGAGAATGTATTTTATTCAAAGGAAAACGTGCGGCTTATATAAGCCCTTACACAAAAACTAAACTACTGCATAATGCATGACAGTTACATATATTCAATAAAAAATGGCACTAATATTGGAGAAAATCCCGCAATTGAATAAAGACTCCCTATAAAGTAGGAGATTTATTTAAAACATTAAAAACCTTAAAAACAAACAAACTAACAAAATATCCCTAAAAGATAGGAAGGGAAGAGTTAAGATCACATGTTTATCGCTGAGAGAAGATAAGATCTTCTAGTCTAAGATTCAAGAATTGTATGTATAGAGATAGGAGTCCAAGATAGGGAGCGGATTACAATTACTGAATATTTTAAACTTGGATATTTGCTAAGTTTTCTTAGTGATAATTTTGTTGAGAATTCTTCGGTAATAGTTCTTTTATCGGAAAAGAAAATAATATATATTTTAACTTGATTTTTTATTTTTTCAAAGAAAAAAATGGTTCACATTATATTAAATATTTTTATTTGTCCGATGTGAACTATTTTTTTTCTTCAATTTTTATCGGTTTTCGTCAGTTTTTTCAGTTTTCAAATTCTTTGACCAATTGACAGGTTCTTTAACAAGTTGGTTCGGTGGTTTATTTGAGCCGTTCACTTACTTTTTGGTCCGGTTTTCAAAACAGATAACTGTAGAACAGTGAAAAATTGGAGTACATTAACTGTATAAAAGATTATTCTATGATCATACATTAACAATACATAGTCTTCTGTATAATAGTGGTTCTACCTATGATATCATTCGGACTCACTTTTAATTCAGTAAAAGAAAGAAAGAAAAAAAAAAAGTTTGCGGTTCTTTTACACATTGTGCATATTCTGGTAGTCAGTAAATTTATTAGACGTGTAAGACAAGTTCATTCCCCTGAGCATCCAAGTCTAAATTTACGAGTGTTCATTCTTCCATTTAGTGCAAGGGCAAGCACATCATATTCCTCCACGTACCACAACTCTGACACCACTGCCTGTAAATATGATTGGGGGAGAGTCAAAGTCCGTAAATAAGGGTTAGTGTGCTGCATTCTTTTTTAAAATACACCCCCCATGTAACTTGCTAGCTTTACTTCTATAAAAATAAGTGTAAGTTAGCAAATTTTCCACAGTTTCCTAACATACACTTTTTTTTATTTTATTTTAAGTATATTAACTAAGTTATAACTACAATATTTTTTTTTAAAATGTAATTCGGTATAACTTACTAATTTTCTCTTTTTAAAAGAGGTGAGTGTAAGATAGTAAAATCCTATATATACATATAGAGAATGGATTAATATGTTTCAAAGTCTATCGATCTATACTCCACTCAATAACTTATATTTTAAATCAAATTTTAATGATCAAACTATTGAATTAAAAGTTTTTAATGCATGGATCAACTCTACAAATTTTAAAAAAATTTAAAAATTATCTTCTACTTCATTTCATTAATTCAAATTAATGTATAATATAATTTAAAAATTATCTGTCAATTTTAATCAATGAAATAAAGTGTCACATAATTTTCAAATATTTTAAAACTTTACAAACTTGATCTATATATTAAGAACTCTTAATTTAATAATTATATAGTTAAAATTTAATAAAGAACATAAATTATTAAGGGAAATAAGTTTAAATAAATTTACTCTTAGAATAAGTAAATTCCTCCTCATATATATATATATGTGTGTGTGTGTGTGTATATATGTGTATGTTTGTAGGTAGGGCTCCACTTCCTGTAAGAGTAACACTTGATAGAGTTACTCCATCCAATAAATTAATAATTCTTTTAATGAATAGATCAAATCTACAAATTTTTATAAAAATTTAAAAATTATTTGATATTTCATTACATTAATTTAAATTAATGCAATATATGCTTTTGAGAATAACCGGTAATTTTAATTAAAACAATGAAGTATCAAATAATTTTTAAATTTTGATAAAATTTGTAGATTTGATCTATTTGTTAAGAACTTCTAATTTAACGATTAGATCGTTAAAATTCATCGTAGATGATGAGTTATTGAATAGAGTAATTCTACTAAAAATTATTCTTGCAATAAGTGAATTCCTCCCCAATATATATATATATATATATATGGAGAGCATATCTAGTGAAAGGAAAATAAATAAACATTGACCATTAGATCTTATCATGAATACTCAAAATTAAAACAATCAAGTCATGTGAATTTTTTAAAAAGCCATGATTTTTTAAGTGACCACTTAACATTAAATCTTGACTATATATAGTTGTATGATCTATATTTACTCTTCTCACTCTCATAAAAATGACTCACTCGATTTGTCTGCTAAATATATAAAGGTCAAGCTAATAAGCATGAGAGAGGAGCCAACAATTGTGGGAACAATGTCAATAACTAATCAGTCCTCGGTTTAAACAATAGGCAAAGCAAATCCAATACCAACTTCTAACGAACCTCTCAGATTTCAACCTTTTTAACTGCAATTCCAATTATTACTATCCCATAAAATAACAGATAAGCACAAACCTTTAATCCACGAATCTGACTGTTAAGTCGATTAACTAGCTCGTGGAAAAAATGAACATCATCCGATGCTTTAAGCTGTTCCTGCATATTACAAGAAGTCATTCTTTGGTAAACCTTTTGTCCTCAATTACTTCACATTAGTTTTTTTGCCAACATCACTTGACACTATACCATACTTAAAATATATTGCCAAAAAGAGAAAAAATGCTAAAGTCATATCACAAAAAAGTTCTAAAACTTCATAAATTGATCTCAATTAGTATTTTGTTGGCTTCTTCTAAGGAAATAACATGTCAGCAACTGTTACTGCTCAGCAATAGGTAACGGAGAGATGTGTTGATGTCCAAGTTAAGACATTTCTGTCCAACGAAATCTCAATCCTTAATTAAAAATAAGAGAGGGGGAGTTTAAATAATAATAAAAAGGAGATATGAGATTTTGATGGTGGAAATTTTCACTGTAAAGATTCCAAGTAAAAATCTCCCATGAGAGAATCCATTCTCCCAAGTCAGGAACCAAATGCAATTCTCTTTCTATAATAAGAGATGATGTCACTTAACACTTAACAGCTAACGTTAATAAATTCCAATTAACACTGAAGATGCATATTACCGTAGGTGATGAAGCACTAGGTGGACCCAAAAGCCTTGCAAATGACGTGTGGAGAATTGCAGCATCATACTGCAGATGAAAATAATGCAGATTATCAAGCATCACAAAGCAATGTAATATCGGTGGCATATAGGGATGGCAAAAATACTCGCACCCACAAGTATCTTTGGGTAAAATCCGTTACGGATAATAAATGGGTAGGCTAATTGGGTACCCGCGGATAATGGGGATGGATAATTTTTTACCCGTTTATAAACGGGCAGGGGCGCGTATGATGGTATCCATACCCGCGGGTACCTGTTTAATAACTTTCTTAAATATCCTAATTATCCTTGTACCACATAATCCTAAAATTACACTCTCTCATCTTATTTTCTTTCCATAGCCGCATAGCCCACACATTAGTTATCACACATTATGAGATTGAATTATTGTAACTTTGTGATATGAGACTTTCACTTGTGAGATTGATGTATTTTAAGTTATTGATTATCTTTTTTTTTTATTATTATTTCAACAAAATTAACGTTAATTACAAGTTCAAAATTAACATTAAATTTTTATTTTTAATATTTCAATGACATTAAATATAAACTTAAAATTATTTGTCATATAATTTTTTTAATTTCTTAAAAATTTTATAAATATCCACGGATATTCAAGAAATTCATGGATACCTGCTTAACTGGGACGGATATGAGGCCAATTTTTATTCAACGGGGTAGGGAAAAATTTACTATTACCCGCCCCCATAGGGCTCCATTGGCATCTCTAGTGGCATATATGATTTCAAATCACCAAGTAATGGGGTTGGAGTTCACAAAGGAAACTCTTATATCATAAAAGAATTCTAAAGAGTAAACTCAAATTAATGCGGCCACATAGGACATTAGATTAGACTCAAAAATCAGGACCCCAGTTTTAATTCCCAAAGCTTCCAAATTTCTATGTGGATGATAAAATGTTCTAAATACATCTTGAAATTTTGCAATGTAGTCCTGACTTAAGACTTAGCGCTTGGAAGATACACTTTTCTTGCACTAGCAAATTAAGTATTCAAATGATGCTTACAAGTTGCTTTTCTGGTGCACGTGGAAGCACATTCTTCAACTTAGCACGAACAGTAATGGGGTCTGTCCCTGACATGACCTACAAAATATGCATAATTAGTCAGACAAGGCTTGAGAACGTGGTCAGGAAAAGAGTTATGGAAAGAGTAAGAGTATCTTCTTTTTTGGGTTACAAGTTTCAAATTTTTTCTATATACTGATTGATGAACAGGTTGAAAGTTCCAACAATAGGCTGTGCTTTGAAAGTAACCAAGTATATATGAAATTTGATGGTCGCCAACTTATAAAAATGCACAAAAAAGGTAGAAAAAGGTTTTATCTAAAAGCATAACAGAAACAGCTTTGATGTTTTCTTCTCACTGAAAAAAAATAATGCCAAAATGTTTCTAGAATCAGTAAACCTAAAAAAACTGAACAAATCATACATGAAACTAAGAATGCTAGTATGCTATCGATATCTTCACTTTTGTTGTAACTTTTAAAAGACTGAACCACTCAAGGCCAGAAGCTAACAGTTTTTTATGTTGCACTAGTTTCACCATTCTAAAATTTCACTTCGCTTGACAGAACTCAATATATTGCTCTGCCTTCTTCTTTATGCATGAGAGAGGGACTAGCACCAAGTAATTGAATAATGCCATTTATGCAAGCCAGTCTATAATACACGTGTCAACACTAATGAGACAAATCCTTTAGATTATGGAAAACAACCTGCCAGCAACCCAGTAGCACCCCAGTGGAAGTCAAAACAACCCTATCCAAAACAATTTTCAAAGGGCAGAGTGTTGCAGCAACAGCTTCCACAGAAGATGCTTCAGCTTCTATCTGACACAAAAATGATTCCCATGACCTTAGTCAGCATAGTGGCAAGAAGAAACTGAGACATGCACAATTGAAGTATACCTCTTCTTTGGTGGCAGGTACAGCTACAATATGATGGGAGGCATGGAACATGCTAAAATGGTACAGACTAGAGTTCTGAAACCAGATTGCTAATTGACACACATGTAAGAATTCCAAGAAAATAAAAACAAGATAAAGAAAAGGATGAAGCAGCACAGATTTGTTTAAAATTTAAACGTATTGGTGGTTCCAACAATAGCTTACCTTTTTCAAAGTATGGATTAAAAATACTTTTGACAGCCTCCCTGTGTTATGCAAACCGTCAATGAGTTATATTAATTCCAAATTGTTTGCCATAAAGTGATATAAAAAAAAGTAAATCAAAGAAGATAAATACAACAATGAAGAAGGATATGTGAAACTGAAAATAAATGGTCATCATTTCGATAATCATAATTTGCAAATGTGGTAAACAATGCTCCATTGAAAGCAAAAGATGAAATGAAAATACTCAAACTTTAATTTGATGAAGTTTTAGTTTAAATTTAAATCAATTTTAAAGGATTAATATTTAAAATCTGACAGTTTACTAATTGAGTCCTAAATAGCACCGTATTCATTATAATGCATCACGATTTGTCTATTAGGCATATTATTCAAAGATCCTATTTGTTCTTTGGTAAAATTGTATAAAAAAAAAGGAGCGGGGGCACGAGAAATCCTGGTCTTAAATGGTTTAAAATAAAAAATATAGGAAAGGAAGTGTTGATGGAATTTTGACAAAGAAAATGATTGTGGGCATGGTGGATGGCCTGCCCTCTCTAATCAATATTAACTAAATTCATGGTTGTAAATTCTGAAACTTCAAGGGTGTTCAATGGAGGAAAAATATGTATTTCTGAATCCCATGAATTTCCTGTGATTTGCAAGTATTCATTACATCCAAACAAAAGAGTTTACCAGAGACAAATAGATGGTACAGCCTTATTAGATAAAGAGATTTTTTTTACATGACTATCTAAGCATGAACATCCAATTTAAAACCATGGACAAATTCAGAAAAGTTATATCTTCCTCTAAGCATAGATGCATGAAATGATCATCAATAAAGTCCAGGAATCAAACTAAAAACGCTTACGCGATAGGGACAGAGAATTCGGTGCTCAAATACAATACATTAGCTCGCACCGGAGGATTTGCCGGCTGCAGGTGGAAAATAATCATCAGTTGCTGCCCAAACAACACCATGAAACACATCCTAAATTGTTGTTACATGTCACCTTCAGAACAGGTGTTACAGATCCATCCTTGAGGGTGAAGATATCTGAAAGAGACAATGATTGGGAGGTTTCTCCATGTTTCAGGAAAGCAGCTCCATGCTCATCCAGATCTCTCCCCATCTTGTCATACAACTTCGATCTTCGCTCCATGTTTGAATTTGGAGAATCTGACACAAACCCTTCATAATTTAGCACCAAACTCGCATACATCTCCACTCAAAATAAAATCCTCAACCAAGGCAACATGTTTGCGCGTTAAGCCAAAGAATACACGGTAAAAGTTCAAACTTTCCTTGAAAAGGCCACATAATTAGCAATTTGACAAAAATATTAATTACCCAAATCGAAGAAACTCTTGACAATTGAGCCAAAAGTAAAATCTATCATCATAGGAAACATAACAAACAAACCCAACTAAACCTGGTGTAAAACAAAGTTCGAAAATTGATTGGTGAAAATAGAAGGTAAGAAGTGATTACCTAAAGGGGTTGATGAAAGTGTTTGTGAAGAGTTGTGAAGGGCCATTTTGAATAAGGCGAAGAAGCAGAAGGCGCAGATGAGCCAGATCAAAGCTACCTTTTTGGAATGACTAAAGTTCCCAGTTTTACTCATCATAACGTGGTACAGCACACAAGATCGAAGTGTAACGTAACTCAATACAGTCCCAACTAACTTAGTGTCATCACCATCCATTTGCTGATCCATTTTTCCTCACTTCTAATAGTTAGCTAGCGTGATATATGTGGCACAAGACTCCAAAAAAATTCTATGTCTATTTTTAATTTTTCCCTTTCAGTTCTTCGTTTAAGTTAATTATTCATTACTCTTAAATTTTTTTCAAATTTCACTTTTAACACCGAAATAAAAATTTATCAAACTTTATATATATATATATATATATATTTTTTTTTTCCACATTTGCCATTTTTTTTATTATTTAAACATCACTTTTAAGCTATATTATATGAACACATGAGATTGTCGTGTTCTTGACACTCTTTGAGAGTGGACACACTGTGGATGCACCTCAGACACTTCGATAGACTGTGTTCACACAAATTGGACATGTGTTCCCTAAACGTGTCTTTAACACGAGCACTTACAAATGAACACGTCTTCATTTTGATGTACTATTCGATACGTGGATTCAAGATTTTAAAAAAAAAAAAAAAGAATAAATCTCAATAAAAACAAAAATAAAAAAGGGATAATTTGAGATTTAAAAAAAAAAGAATAAATCTCAATAAAATCAAAAATAAAGAAAGGAGAATTTGAAATTTTTTAAAAAAAAATCTCGATAAAAATAGAAACAAAGAAGATAAGATTTGAAATTTTTAAAAAAAGAAAAAGAATTTGACAAATATAAAAATAATGAAAAAAATATTTTATCTTTCTTTATTTAACTTTCACATAATAAAAAAAATTCTTAGTAAAAATAAAAACAATTAAAGAAAAATTTGAGATTTAAAAAGAAAATTATAAATATAATATCTCTTAATGATTTTTTAAATCTAATAAATTATTATTATATTAATACATAATATTTTTATTAAATTATTTATATCATATATTATATATATGACGTGTCAATATATCTTATATTTATTAATTTTATTGTATTTCCGTATCCGTATCATATTTTCGTATCGTGTCTAAATCCGCTACATTGCTTTTAAAGTTTTAAGGAATGATATATAACTCTCACTTGAGTTGTCATGATGATTTATTAGTATGATATATAATAGTCCCGTGTAAAAGTTTCTAGTAAACTATTTTTTATTTATAATTATTTTACGAATTCATCAATAGTCATTCAACACTATTTTTGTCCAATTTTAGTTTTTTTTTAATTATTATTATTAATCATTATTTTTAATCTCTCATTATATATTATAATTAAGCGATAGTATGATAGTAACGTAACTTATTACGTAGACTATTTGTCACATCGTTTTATTACATTACTTTTAATCTCAATAAATAAATCATTTATCATTAATTATTTAATAATTTTTATACATTAATTAGTTAATGATTTACATTAATCAGTAATTCTGGTTAATTAAGTTACTACTTTAAGTGAAGAAAAAACTATATTTTATTTACTTGTGGAGTTAAACATACATAATAAGAGTTGAATTATATCTATTAAAATGTTAACAATTTTTGTAGAACAACGAGTGATGACAAAGACTAAAAAATAAAGAAAAACAGGGTAAAAGTGGTACAAGATTCATTATTAGCAAAGTGTCATTTTTCTGCGAATTTTTCTAAAAAAAATATTCGCAGAATTTTTTTGCGAATTTTCTTACAATAATAATTTCGTAAAATTTTTTATACGAATTTATTTGTGAAAATTAATTTACAGATATTTCTTATACATTTTTTTACGAAAAATAATTTACAAGAAGTTTTTGCAAATTTTGCCACAATTTTAATGATCATAGATGATCTTACCGGAAATCTGCTGTAGAGCTGCTCCGCCAGGTAAGATCGGTGAGCCTCCTTCACTGGTACGCTTGTGCTCCAAGACGGGGGTGGTACCTGCAAAAGAGACTCTGATGCTAAAGTTAGTGTTTGTGGGAGTATGAATCTCGTATAAGTAATGCACGTACCTTAGTGTGAATTAGGGTTGCTTTGGGCCTTGGGCCTGAGATAAGATATGATAAGATTAGATAGTGGATCTCGTCTGAAGCGGGATCCCTCGAGATCAGTTATGATCTGCTTAAATGCCGAGCTGACGTCGCATAGCGCGTGCCCGACCTCATCTTGTGCTGTGATGCCGAGCTTGGAGCTCGGCTTCGCGGTACGGACAGTACAATAGAAATTTTTTTCCATGGTAAAATTTTGTAGAAAATATTGTAAAAATTTTATTTTGTTTCTTGCAGATTTTCTTGTAAAAATAAATTTACAAGTAATGTTTACTAAATGGTAGAAAATTTTTTCAAGTAACTTTTTCTGCGGATTTTTTTGCCAATTTTAATCCGCAGAAAAAATAAAAAAAAATATTCCACTAGGCCAAAATACGTCACTATAAATATACAGGTGATGGGACATAAATGAGGTACGTTTTATCCAATATAAAAGTCTTTATTGCTCTATACCGAACACTTACTTGATCGTCGGAGTGCCTCTGCAGGTACCCTCCCTACCCATTGAAGATAGTATTCGGTCAGGACCGAAGACTTTTATACTTTCATGCCTTCCAGAAGCTGAAGAACAACTTTGACGATGTCCAAGTTGAGCACACACCCCGGGAACTCAACGCAAGAGCCGATCGGTTGGCTAGGCTAGCGAAAAAAATTGCATGAAACTTTCTTGCGATTTTTTTTTGCAGGAAAATTTCCTGCGAATTTTTTTCCCAGGAAAATTTCTTGCGAATTTTAAAATTCGTAAAAATATATTATTCACGAAGGTATTACCTTCAGATAAATTTTTGCAAAAAAAATTGTAAGAACGTTTCCTGCGAATTTTGATGAAAAATTCGCAGGAAAAGTCGCATGTAATAAGAGAAATTCTAGTAGTGATTTTATATTGTTTGATCTCTACCATTGATACTACATCTATTTTTTTATTATCAAGATTATCAACTTTCACTACATAATATTCTTTCATAAATCATTTTTGCTTCAATCTAAATAATTTTTTTACTTGTCTCTTCAAGTAATTATCGAAGTACTGTTTGATAAGAAAGTTTTTATAAGCTTCAAACATCCAAGTATTATTTGAATATAAAACCTTTTCAAGCATCCAAAGCTTAAACACTAAATTAAAGTTATGAGGGAAAAATGCTCAAGTTTCACCCCACAAATTTTTATTGAGAGATTTTGTGCAATAGTAAGCTTGTAAGAGTTTTCTATGTGATTATCAAACTTCATATTTATGGTAGCCTTTGAAGATGACGGTTAAACATCCTTCATGTTGTTCTTGCTTGTTTGCATTGTTTTTTGTATTTATTGATGTCATTAATGCTTGCATTTAATATTTTCATTTATCAAATTTTCATTAAGCCCACCCCTCAAGGTAAAGATCATACGGTCATTAAGTGGCCTCCTTGGCATAATATTCATGAAACATACAAAAAAAATTTCAGTTTTCAAATCATATGATGCATGTTACATGCAACAATCTTATCAATTTACTCAATTGTTCTCAATATTCTCATTGCATATCAAGTGCCTTAAAGTAATTCATGCTAGATCCTACTCAGCTATATTAGGTCCCCTCAAGCTCAACTTCTCATGGCTCATATCAACGTTACACCCTAAGTGCCTTAAGGTTCTCATGATTCTTAATGTAATCTTATTGTTTTAAAGGAGTTATTTTGTAAATTACAAGATATACATATCTTATGTTTTTCAAGAGACTCACGCTTAGTGCCAATCAACCTACACTTAGAATAAAAGGGAAAAGAGTAAAGGTTAGTATTTTTGGCTTTCTTGCTTAATGCCAAGAACATATACCATCACACTTAGTGCGACTCATCTCGTGTAAAGTGTCAAAACCATTATAACTTTATATGGCTATGACATTAAGATACATCTTGCTTAGCGCACAACATGTAGATTTCTTTAGAATAAAATGGCGCTTAACAAGAATAGGGTTTGCTTTGCATCCAAATAAGGATCATTTTTTATGGCTATAGCATGGATGCATCCATGCTTAGTGCTAGAAACATTGGTGCTCCTTGTGACTTTTATGCTTAGTGAGACCCTTATCTCACTTAGAACTAAAGAAATAATGACCAATCCTCTACTTCAAGGAGTCTCACACTTAGCGTTAAATAAACAATAGTCAATTCTTTGCTTCTAGGAGTTTCACACTTAGCATGAAGGATCTCACGCTTAGAATAGACTCCCAAAAATCCCAAAATTGAAAATTCCTCACAAAACTCACTCAACTAGGTCTAATTATTCTCATAATCAACACAAAAATATGATCACATTCTTAATTCAATATTAACAAACATCAAGTCATATAATATTCCAAATTTGCTCATCAAAACCATAATTCATATAATTTATCCACAATCATGTCACAATTTCAAGTCCAAATAACCTTATAATAACATAGTCTCATTGACACTAAATCAATCCAATCTCAAGCATCCCAATCACATAAAATGAAAAACATACAAAAGCTTCATGGTGTTTACAATTGTTAATGGATTGGTAAGCGAAACAATCACATTGTAGTATTTCAAAATAAGATATCGTTTCCCAAAAGAACTTGTGCGATTCAACAATATTGACTCAGTACACTAACTTAAACTCGTGATTGAATTGTAGTTTGTTAAGATCAAACATGAAGTTGTTTTTAGGAATTTTATCGAACACTAGGCGGCAAAATAAAGTCAACAAGAGAGAACCATTGAGATTGGATTTTACTAGTCTACCATCATGTATTAGTTTAACAAATGATGCTCATCTATATTTTATACCATCACTTAACTTATCATCGAAATCTGGAAACCATAATTCCTCATATGCTTGAAATCATGTATTTTACCCAAATCACCAATCCTTTGGTTAAAGTGACTGAAATACAAAATATTAAAAATATGGATAGTTATAAAATGTCCAATGAACTCATGTTTATCTCTAAACAAAATATTTAGTGGGTGTATTAGCTCATACACAACTCAAGAATCATTTTTCCAATCACTTCTCAAGTAAAAATATCAACTCAAGATACAAATAATTAATAAAGAGCACTGAGAGAAGAACAAAACA